TTTAAAAAAGGTCTACTCATTCATCACAAAACATGGAAAGAAAAGAATACTTTGTATTGTTTTGGCAAAATATTATTCATTAATGCCCACTAAGTATGATTGGGTAACAATTCTTACAAGCTGGACAAGAAAAGCAAGATACAGAAGGAAATACACAGCCTGAAGAAAATATTACCTTTTATACTATAACATATTTGTTAAATGCTGGAATTTAGAATAGTAGGATCTGTGTTAATTGGGATAACAATAGAGTAAAATTTTATAAGCAAAATTCCTATTGTGTTTTTATAAAATACAGTCTAGACTCTACTGTGATTTTGGTTTGGAAGCGTGAGAGTTATTTGTTAGAAACCTCTGCCACTCCTGTTTATTATGCAAAAAATCGACTTACTCAACTACTTTAATAATGTTGCAGTAACAGCGTTAAAAACAGTGAGAAGAGAGAAAGCATGAGGCCATGCTAGGGCATTCCAAAGCTGGCACAATCAAATCCATAATGTGGTGCCAATTTCAGCAAAACATGGCCAAAACTGAACGATGCTTTGCAAACAGATCAAATAGATTTTGTCTGAGTCTCTGGTACAGTGGTTACAGACAGATGATGGGGTTGGAATAGCAGCAAAATGAGCAGCCTTTTCCACACGGTACAGGATCCTGCCTACCACAAAAACACATTGGTATTCCTGAGGAGTGACATGAAGGCTGTAGCTGAGACAGAAAGGATGTTTGCTGAACAATTCAGCTAATTTCAAGGGCTTCCCACACTAGGCCCACCAAAGCCTGGAAAATTCACAGATTCTAGGAACAGAGTTTCTCTTTCACCATTCTCTGCCAAATAAATAAATCTCTCCCTATCCATCTGGTACTCTGAAGAGGCTGAAAAGTAGCAGGGTTGTGGAGAAACGATTCAGCTGCACAGCAGGCAGGGGGCAGCTGGGAGAATGTGGGGGTTTTCTGCTAAGGAAAGGACATTTTTGGCACGTACACAAAAATATTTAATATTCAGAAAGTTAAATTTTGAATTCTGTTCAGTGTTTTTACATTCAAGGAACAAAGCCTCTTTCCAGCGAATCTATGAGAGTATTCCTTTTCTTCTCATGCCCTTTTTTCCTAGCAGCAGTAGAAGTAAATCCATACACTATAAGCTCTACTAATCCATTTTTAGTTTCTATGGAATACATAGCATGGAATACAGAAGAGGAAAGCCCACAGTACAAAAAAGCCATACCATATAAAGCTCATTAGGTCTGAGCTGATCAAGACAGAACTAGCCAGCATATAAACTGATGGAGACAGATGTGATGCTAAGCTCCTCACAACATCTAGAATGTAAAGCCTGTGATAATATTTTCACGGTGTCAGCCAATTGTGGGATACTGTAAAAAATCAGTACACTAGACTCAAAATCTAAAGTAACCTTATGCATAAAAATGAATATGAAAGTGGTGTTTCAACCAAAATTTATAAGCTAAAAGTTTTCTAATGGTATAATCACAAAAGATTTTAATCAAAGGAGGAACCAGAATGTAAAACCAAGTATTTGATTATTTTTTTTTAATAAAAAAGATCTCACCTGGCTGAAGAACCTCTTGTGTAAAAACATTAATGTCTCTAAAGTTACCAAAAGGGATGTCATCGCTGGTGTGAGAAACTGGAAACAGGCTCAGAGATGCCCCCTAAATGTAGTGGGATTAGAAATGGATAGAGAAGATGCACTACCCAGAGAGAATTACCTTAAGAGCTCAGTTCCTCCAGAGGCCTCACCTTTGTTTCAAAGTAAACTAGACTTTGTGTATACTTTAAACAGTTTCTAAGCCCAAACTTTTTTAAAATCCAATGCCTTGAAAAGAAAATGAAAAAGCTTCTTGCAGCATCTCTTCAGTATTTCGCCTACAGATGTAGGTGCCAGGGAGAGTTTGCACTACATAGAAGCAAAGATTCCTGCACTGGTTAAATACATACTATCACCTGCAGCATGCTGCAACAAAAACATTCAATACTGAGACCAGGAACAAAAAAAATCAAATTTTCACTGTGATAACCGAGCCACAGAAAACAGAAAAAAAAAAATGGTCAGCTATTTCAGCTGCTTGCCCCAAGAAGAGCTTACTTTTACATTATGTCTGATTGCTCAAGGCTTTGTACAGGCAAGATGGGGAAATCTCTAAGGGCAGCGACTCTGCAGCCCCTCTGAGCACACCTTCCAGTGCTAAACCAGCTTTGGAGTGAAGAACTTACACTTCTGTCCATCAAATCCTCTTCATTACAACTCAGGCCCACTGGCTCTTGCCCTTGCTCTCAGTCTCTGCTATCTTCTCATTAAATACTTCACACTAATCCACATGGATTTATTTTTTTCTGAATGGCAAAATCCTATGATCAAAAAAGGGCTGGAATGAACTGCAAGTCATCTTGTTCCTCCCTCTGCTTTAAGAAAGGATCAACTATACCAATGTCTCATGAATGTTCTGCTAGAAATTCAACAAGAAAACTAGACCACTGCTTTGCTAGCCTTACAATAAGATTGTTTTTTAATGCCTAATCCAAATTTCTCTTTTAGCATTTCAGCCACCACCCTCTACCCTTTTTGTAGCCACAAACTTATTATTTGAATCAGAGAGCTGCAGAATCGTATTGACTGGAAAAAGCCTCTGGAGTTCGCTTAGCCTGGCTTCTGCTCCAGAGCCAGGTGCTAAGCTAGATGAGGCTGCTCAGGGCCTAGCCCAAGCAGCCCAAGGTTAAAAACCTCCAAGCCTTTGTTGGAGATTCTACCACCTGTCAGGTCAACCTATTGCAGAGCTTCCCCAGGGAGACTGTCTGCAAACAAAATGCCAGCTTGTTCTACAGAGGAATCCTGTATTTTCATTTTTAGCATGCCTTTTTTTTTTCCCCCCCAAACTGGAAATGCCTGCATTGGCGTTACAAAAACTAAAGCTACCAAGGATACTTTAAAGCATTAGACTTGTCCTGTAAAGTTCACAGATCCAAAACTCCAAATGGCAAGGATTCCCTTTCCCCCCCCCCCTCAATGAGAACTTAATACACCCAGAGTAATATATATTAGAATGAGAAGAAGATATAAAAATAAGACTTCCTGGAACCACCAGTTTTTAAGTGTGCTACTCCACCAGGTATGACACACAGGCTGGTGTCAGCCAGACTTCTCCATTATCTACTGGCCTCTCGTTCCATTAACGTTCTTTCACAACTACCATTTAAGAACAGTCTCACCTGCCTGGTGCTGGCAGCTTTGCACTTAAGCTCCATTTCTCACCACATTATATGGACAGGGAAAAAAAATACTCTAAATCTTCTTTGGTGGTGCCCTGCATCCATCCCACTTGTTAGTCACCAGCCTCACTTCAACAGTTCCTGAGGACCAAGGCAACCCAGGCAGAGCAAAATGCAGACTTGGTGTTCTTTTTCTTCATTGCTCTTTTCTGCCAAGTAAGTAGAATTTTGAAAGGAGAAGACTGATTAGTGGTGGAGCAAATACAAGGAACAGCAAGTATGCAGACTAGGGCAGGGCAGGATAGTTATCTGGCAGCAACTGGATGAATTTAGATTGTCAGGTAACAATCCTTAAACACAGAGGAACACCTAGTTTTCTGTTATCCTTTTTCCTTCTTATGCCAATGCTTGGTCTGGCATAGTTGCTTGGCATAATGGATGGGCTTTGCTTCTGCTAGGTAACTGAGCACAGAAACGATGGCAGCAACGACTTGAAGATACCTGAAGCCCCATTAAGGTCTTTAACAGACAAGGTAGGTCTGGTACAGAGCATGCACATATAGTGCTATTTTGGAGCCCAAAACCACCAAGTTTAGCAACTAAAAGAGTTACCAAATTAATACATTCATTTGCTGGTGGCAAAAAAGACAAGTTCCATCTGGAAGGACAAATGTAAGCACAAATGGTTGAAGTTTTGCAAACCCCCAAGACTAAAGATTTACTCATCTTGCTTCCACTGTAAAGCTTATATTCTGCACATGGACCAGGCCCTAGGCAATGAACCCAATGTGCTGCCCTGTGCTGGGGCTGCCTTACCTATGAGCATTTTCAGATTTCACAGGTGAGTTTGTAGATCATCAGAAACCTCATGTGACAAACACTGCCAAAATCCACTGCTTTCGGTACTAAAAGGAAAGTTTTCCCACAAAACCAAAATACCAAGCTTACATTATCTTCAGATATAAACTTTTAACAGCCAAGTTTCTATATACATTTTATTTCTATCATTATAAAACTGAGGAATATGCTTTTTCACAGCTATACAAAAGAGATACATTTTTTTCTCAAATTTTTATTCAACAGCCTGCTTACAGAAAATTAACAGAATTAAACAGAAGCCTACATAAAATACTATACAAAATACCAACATTGTTGAAGAGCTAGTCCCCAAATATGCCCACTCACTGTATCCCCAGCCATCTGCACTGCAGCTCAAAGAGCAAAACAAAAATATCTGAACATTTTCTTGGCTGCAATTCATTATGACAAGAGAAATGCAACCCTTGACAAACTCCTGTTCAGCAGAATTTGGCAAGAAGAAAACAGGCAACTGTTTATATTGTAATAAAAAAAGGCAGTTGACACATTAATTAATAATTAAGTATAATAAATAAATTTATCTTTAATGATGAGTTCACAATCCTGGAGCACACTTTTCAGAACACAAAAAATATTCTCTGCTCTGGAAATGCACTTTGTGGGAAATGATAGGTATTGATGACTTGCAGGCAAAAAGATCTCAAAAGCCTTTCAGGAAAGAACAGATCACAGTAAGGAGTTACAAAGGCAACCTTTGAGTAGAAGTCTTCTGGAAGATTCAGTAGCTTCAGACCAGAACCACCAGCAATCATCAAGGCTCCTTTACAGTCCATCACTGCCATTTTTAGTAGTTTCTATCAAGGCTTGGATTCCCTCTCTCCCCAGTCAATGTTTTTATACAGTGATGTCAATTTATGGAATTCACATTTTTAGAGCTATCAAAGGCCAATTTAAGGAGGAGGATCTTCTCCCCGAATAGCTTTGTATTTTGCCATGTCTTCTGGAAACACCTTTGTCAGTTCTTGAATTAACAGACTTTTAAATTTCTAGAAAGAGAAAAAAAGGTATCAATTGCACTTTTCTTTCTTAGACTTCATCAAGCAACGTTATACAAACATTTCTGTTCATCAGATATGACACAATTCTACATTTCAGTGACCTAAGAGACCAGTAAGCAAAAAAAAATAAATCTCAAAACCCCACATGCAAACACAGGAAGCTCCGTCTACAAAATTCACAGAAAATGCTCAAGTGAAATTCACTAGGAAAGTGCCAGGAAAACTAAAATGCTTTTAATTTCCCATAATTAATTAGCATTTTCACCTAAATACAAAGTAGCTGGACCTCTCTGGTAAACTCTGGTACATCTGTCTGACTGTATTAAGCAAAGCTGACACATCCTCTTGACTTGATAGGGAAACTCTTTCACCTTCAAAAAAGAAGTTGCTTAGAAAGACATTAATTCTTCCTACAACTTCTAGAAGCACAGAGCACATCAAACATATGAGAAGCTGAGGACATGTGAAGTACATTCTGCAGCACAAATTGGCACCCTCCACACTAATTTCAAGTTCAACCAAATAATGTTTTAAAACAAAAACAGCCCTTTCTCAAATCTCACTAAACTTCCTTTTCTGATTGTGTTCTTCAGGAGTAATTGCAGCAGCTGAACAGTACTGCAGAATGCTTAGGTTCATACTAGCTGAAAGTACACACTCAAAAACCTCTACACACTGGCATACATTTTAAGTCATTTTATAAAGATTAACTCATATTTAAGAAGTATGTTTGACATTTTAATACTCCAAGATGCATTTAAGGCTAGAATACCCCTCCTGCCTTAGTTATTTCTAAATTTACACACCTGACAGTTACAGAGCTGCAACAGTGAGTGCTCCTCACTAGTATTCCCAATGAAAACATAAAGAACCCTAACATGACATACAACTTGAATCAAAATAAAATCATAGCAACACCTGCATCTCCAACCGTGGGACAAATTACAAGTTTCCTTTCCAGAACCACCTCCTTTAACATCAATCAAGGATGCAGAGCAAATCCTAATACAAACCACCTAATAAAGGAATTTAATAACTGCACAAGTGAAGAAAACCCATGTATTTACAGAAAAAACCCAGCAACTTATCAGATACATTCTTAAATTAGTACTTTTTTTCTGTTTTACCTTCATTGTGTCAATTTTTCCTTTTACTTGCTCATTTTTAGCCAAAGCTCGCTCCAGACACTCTTTGGTGTAGAGCTGAGGATTGCGACCTTGATCTATATATCTGAAAATAGAAAAGATACTACTGAGATGATTGTATTCCTACTAGGATTTTCTCCAAGGTACAGAATTATTCACCTTGCAGTGTTTTTGTTACTACCATTATACAAAACGTGCATTTCAAAACCAGTTTAACTCAGCCATTCCCAAAAGACAGCTCAAGGAAGACTACGTTTTGGCCAGCAAACAGCTATCTTGGTGTGCTGTTTAAATCCTTGTTTCCTGAAAGCCTGGAGGTTTGAGAAAAGTATGAAAAGCAAACAAAAAATGTAACTACCCAGCTGCTCACAGGCAGTAAGCACACATGAATAAAGAAAGATGGTCCTTTTCTAAGCAACTGAAAGGGCACTAACCACGAAGTAGCTTAGTTAGTGCATAAGGAACAATAAGCACACAGGAATACGGCCCCCAGAAATTCCAGGATGAGAAGAAGCTTTCATACCAAAGAGAAAAAAACAGCACACCTGTAGCCACAAACTTCTGAGTGCATTTTTGCTTTGTAATGGGAGTGCTTGACTAAGGGAAATTCCATCACTGAATAAAGAAAACCAAACACTTAAGTTTGTCATAATAGAATAACAGAGAGTGAAAGTCCACCTGAAAAGATCCTATATTGACAGTAATACCCTAGAATATAGCAAAACAGTAACATCTGGACTTACAAAAAGCACCAGTAAATTAACTTGCTAGCTATACTGCAAAAGCTGCATAGCTCTCACTCTATAACTATGATTTTGCTTTTAATATTCTAATTCTTTGCCAACAAGATTGCCACAACTGAAACTAAACACCAAAGTACTAGCTTAATGTATTTTCACCTGCAACTTTAAATCCTGATTCTAACCTAGTGTAAAAGCTTCCTTCCAAAGCAAAAGCTTACTTACTAAATAATTCGATTTGGCAGAATCAGTATTACTGCCTACATACGTAAAGTCAATATAAAGAATAACAACAAAAAAAATAACTGAAAAGAGCTGTATAATGTATTACTTCTCTTAAGTCCTTCACCTTCTCACAGTCTAATGGTACTTCTTACCTTCTGCCTGTTCACATTGCCATGAGGAATTCAGGGTTTAAGAAGCAAGCAGTCCCCAGGGAAAATGTCCAGGCTGCAAAGACTCACCGCCTCCCATCACACCGACCACAGCACCTCCCCTGCCAACTACAGTTACTTACTCAAAAACTTCCAAAGGCACACTGATATCGTGAAGCTGCTGCCGGCATTTGTCGATATCCTGCAAGCCCGTCACCATGAAATTCCTGTAAGAAGACAACGGGTCGTTTTTACCCGGAAAGGGGTGCATCGCGCGGCTGCCAGGCCGGCGACACGAACCCCAGCGATGGAGACCCCGGAGAACCGCCCCTTCGTTCCTCCCAGGCCTCGCTACGGCGGGGGGGGGGGCGAGGCACCAGCCCAGCGCCC